TTGCATTTTAAATTTCGTTTTAAATTTTACCAATCATCACGTTTCATTGTAGCATTAATGAAGCTTAAAAATTTTCAAACAGTGACAAAATACTTGAAATTTCACCTGCAGTTATTTCATTATTCGTCGAATCTTACTTGAATGCAGGGTTTCCCTTTAATTTTAAAAATACAATTTACCTTGCAACTTTCAAGTGAACAAATTGATACAAGAATTAAAGCAGTAAAAACAAAAAGAAAAAGAAAAAAATGGCTCGAATAAAGGGAAGAAGGTGAATTTGATAATTGTAACGTATGCTTGCGCGTATCCAGCAAGCAAGTTAACTCGTTATGAAGTTTATTCTTTTTATTGCTCTAACTCGAACTCACCAACAGATGGGACCTCCCGTTTTCGCTCGAGATCAACTTTGTTCCCAACGAGTATCACGCCGTGGCTAGCCATGTAATCACTCTTCCACAGATATAACAACGTCTCCTCGGCCATTTTCAAGCTTCGCCTATCCACTACCGAGTAAACTACCACGTAAACGTCCGGGTTGTATGTCGAGCAGAATGTTTCGACCTGGAACAAACGAGGGAAACGAAAAGGTAGTTTATTTTCTCTTCTTCTCTACATATGTGTGTGTAAAAGGACAGTACACACATATCTGCTACATATGTGATACGTATGTAGCTTGTATTTTTGGAATTCATTTGAAAAATAAAAGATAAATAAAAGGAATTTCAAATCAGCGAATAAAGATAAAGTGAACTTCGAAAATTGTTCTCATCTGTTCGGTTTTCTGAATGTTTCGTTTGCTTGTAAGGACGTTTTAAGATGCAAAAATGCAATGGGAAACAGACACGTGATGCAGTATGCAGGAGTATACGTATGAAACATTCGTTGCGAGATATACTTAGAATGTGGGGCGCATTTCCATTCCAGATTTTTTAGTCATGCACACTGAAGATGTGGGAGCACGATCCGCGATCGGTTCATGCGAAATGAAATATTCAAATTATCACATTTATATGCGAGTTTACAAATTGGAGAAAGAGATTACAAACTAATGGAATTGGAAGGAACTGTCGGATGAATGCTTCTGAAACATTTCATTTACTTGTATTAGATAAACAAAGAAAATATTGCGAGTCGAGCTGAGAAAACCAAGCGTTGTTCTAAGTCCTCGATTTTAGCTAGTAGCGATCGGTGTGCAGCGAAATTAAAAATATAGATATTAACCCCTCTGAAACACGATTCCTACAATAGTGAATTACACTGATTGTCAAATATAATTTACGAATAACATAATAATATAATAATGAACGTACGATGTAACAAATATATGACATACATTATAATAATAATTAATATGTGATATATATTGTAATTAGTATGTACGTATAAACGTAACATGAACAATATTAAATAACAAAAATAATAATTTAAAGTAAACAGAAACAAAGTATGAGCACGTACTTGGAATTAGACTGCAGATTTCTGTGCGTTTACGTGGAAAACTCGAGGACGCAAAAACGCATATAATATTCAAAAAAAAAAAAAAA